AAAGGGGACACGGCGGGGACTTGGGGCCCCCCCGCCTGCCCCCCTCACCGGCACCGGAGCTGGCAGCACGCCGCCTGCGCGGGGGTGCCTGGAGGACCGCTTCACCGCTCGGCTCAGCCGCCGAGTCTTCTTCCTCCTCCTCCTCCTCTTCCTCGCTGTCTTCAAAGTCGAAGGCTTCGCCGAGGTCCTCCTCGCTGTGGGGCAGGGGGCTGGGGGTCTCCAGGGCAAGGTGGTCACCTGTGAGCAGAAACCCCGTCACTTCAGTGTTCCCCCTGCGGGGATGGAGGGACGCGGGGGTGGAGGGGACAGAAGAGAGCATCACCCCCCCAAAACTACAAGATACAACTGCTCTTTGTGTTTCCACAACCCCAGGAGGCTCCGATGGGGATGTGTAGGATGCCCCTGGGTGATGGACCCCCCCTTTCCGCCCAAAGCTGCGTGTGTGTGTCCCCAAAAAGCCACCCCAGCTCCGGCAGGTTGACAGTACCTACTGCGGGGTGAGGGGGCAGCTCGGAGGAAGCCATGGCACAGGGGGTCCGGATGCTCCGCCTGGGCCCTTCCCCGAGGCTTTCCTGCGGGAGAGGAGGAGAAATGGGCTGAGAGGGGAGATCAAGCCCCCAAATCCATCCCCAGGAGAGGAGGCAACGTGGGGAGACTCCGGGTGGGATGGATCCAGCTCTGGCTGCTGCAAAAGCTTGCAAGGAAGCAGAAATGTTGCTCCCAGGTCCCAGTTTGCGTGGCAAATCCAGCTCGTGCACTGGAAATCCACCCCGTGCACGGCAAATCCGGCCCCTGCGTGGCAAATCCAGCTCCAAGCGTCAAGCTCGAAGGTCTCGGAGGCTGGGAAGCGCCGAGCATCCTCCGTGCGATCGATGGCTAATCCGCTCCGGTAACCAGAGATGCCAGGCACGATGCCCTGAAAGGTCACCAAGAGGAAGAGGAAGGACGGATCTGGGACCCCCCCCTCCTCGTGCCCGAGGGACGATGCAGCAGAGAGAAGAAACAAAGAGCAAAACGGGGCCAAACTCTGCTGATTTGGTCCTGCTGGAAGCGGCGATCGGTGCACAACGGATGCAACCACCCTACTCCAAAGAGCCATGACCCACTCCAGCGACCACTTCTCCCTCGCCTGGACCCCATTTACCCTGGGAGGGGGATAGAGAGGGTGCACAGACCCAGGATGACCCCAAAAAAAGGATTTATTTGTTCCCCCTGTGCCAAAACCCCTTCGAGCTGTGGCGCAGCGTGGGTACAACTGCCCCATGTGGGTTTGCAGCAAGCCATACAGCTCCAGGGCCACATACATATACATATATACATATAGCTCTAGAGCACAGCAGGAGGGAGCTGAGGTCTGGGACCTCCTCCCAGATTTGCCTTCACCCCTGGAAAACCAGCTACGAATGCCTACGAACCCCAGCTGATGCCACAACCCCGCCAGGTTTCAAAGCACTCAGCCGCCCCAACACTGTCCTTGCCCGCTGCAAAAAAAAAAACCCCAAAAGCATCGAGCTAAAACCCATCCAACCCTTTCCCAACTGTAAAAAAAAATACTAATAATACAAATAATACTCCTTAACCTCTGTCACCACCACAAGTGTCCTCTCCCGGCCGCTTTCGCAAGGAGCCCGCTGCCTCTGTAAGCACATTAACGGGGACTGAGTTGGGAGGAGGACCCAGGGATGTTGATTTTTCCTGCTCGAACTCCTTTCCCGGCCCTGGAAACAGCAAGCGGCTGGCAGCCAGGGCTGTGCTCACGTGTCACGCTTCCCATCAGCGTGGGAGCAGGCGGCTGCCTTCTCCCCCCTGTTTCACAAGCTCCGGGTTTTATCCCTACGGACGCGATGCCGACCTCGCCATAACTCCACAATAAACCAGTCCCACCAGATGCGACAGAGCCGAGGACCTCGAGGGAAACAAAAAAAGCCATATTTCTGAAAAAACCCCAAAAAGCAAAGCCAGGAGAAGATCAAACCACCTGGGTAAAACAAGCCCAGCAGAGAGACGCTGGTGGTTTTACCCAGAAACCAGTTTGCTTACTGGTTTGCTTCACCCTTCCAGCAGCCCAATGGCTTCCGCGTTCGGAGAGGGGAGCAGGAGGACGATGCCCAGCCGGGCCCCGCAGCTCAGTCCTGGTTTTATCCCACTCACGGGGCCGGAGAAGGTCACCTCCCATTTTGCCAGTTGACATCAGCTCCCACCAGCTGGATTTGTCCCCGGGCTGGTTATTTTTCCGGCTGCGAGCGCGCCTGCCGCCGAGGAGAATTACCAGCTCTCCAAAACAACCCACCCCGACCTTTCATTTGGTCTTAAAATAAAAAAAAAAAAAAAAAGAGGGTTTTTTACGCATTATTTTTTCATAGCAAAGCTGCTATCGGTGGTGGGAACATCCCAGTAGCAAAACACATCCCATGGGATGGGGGGAAAAGCTGGTGGGGACGAGCTACCCTGCCAGGGAGATACCCCCAGAGCAGATTGGAAGAGCAAAAAGGGGATGCGGAATAATCCCAGAAGGACGTGGGGATGCAATATAACCCCAGCAGGATGCAGGGATAGGATATCACCCTTGGAAATATGGATTTAAAGCCCAGAAGAGCTGCTGGGTCCTGCTGCCAGTTGGGGGGAAAAGCTGGTGGGGACGAGCTACCCTGCCAGGGAGATACCCCCAGAGCAGATTGGAAGAGCAAAAAGGGGATGCGGAATAATCCCAGAAGGACGTGGGGATGCAATATAACCCCAGCAGGATGCAGGGATAGGATATCACCCTTGGAAATATGGATTTAAAGCCCAGAAGAGCTGCTGGGTCCTGCTGCCAGTGAAGGGCTTGAGGCAGCATCAGGGGAGGGAAAATAAACAGAGCTCGATCTAAATAAAGGCAGAAAAGCAGGGCCATCTGCTCAAGCCAGCCCGACCCTTCGCCTAGCAAGCTGGCAACCATTGGGTTTTATTTTGGTTATTTTTAGCCGCCGCGCCGGAGCGACAGGTCCCAGCTGGCGGGAACGGCCGCCCACCCCCGGGGGCCCCCCCCCCCGAGAAACAAGAATTCGCTTTTTTTCCCCCCAAGATTTTCCTTTGACTCCTTATCAATTCCTCCAGCCGACGGTCCCGCATCCCAACCACAGTTTCAAGGCTCATTTCACCACCTGGATGATTTTCCACCATCACCTTGGCCAAAAAACAGAATTAATTCAGGTTGTTTCCAGCACGTGGGATGCCAGGGAGAACAGCGAGGTCCCCAGCACGAAGCACGGAGGTTTTCTCCCCCAAACTGAAGTCCTTTAAAATAAGAATTGTTTAAAAAGCCAGCAGATATTTTCTGCAAGGTAAAGGATTTTCCAGTCCTAACTGTGACCGCGCGGCGCATTATCAGCATTTTAAGGGCCGAGTGGTTCATTTCCTGGTTTTCCAAGGAATTAATCGCAGAGATCTGAAGGTTTCGCTGCGGGACTGAGGGCTCCGGTGAAGAAAAATGAGCTCACATCTGTAAAATCTCCCCGAATTCAGAGTTTCGATGCGGTTGGTGGAGGCAGCAATAAGGGGCATCAAGGCGAGCGGTGGGAACAAAACAATAGCAAGAAGATGGGGGTTTTCCCCTCAAAAAAGCCAAAAGACGGATATTTCCCCCCCCCAAAAAAAAGGAGTTTCCCAGAAAAAAGCCAAAAGAGGAGGTTTTCCACCTGAAAAAAATTCCATGAAATTCCATGAAATTGAAGTTTCAAGGTGATTTTGTGATTCTCTTTTAAACAAGCCCTTGCCCAAAGGCATGATTTTATCAAAAAAGCTCTTCCTGAACACGGCGCTTCCTTCTTTCACCTCGAAACGGCTCTTCTGGGCAAATATCCCGCCAAGATTCCAGCCGAAAACCCAAGGCCTGGAAAACCACCGCCGCTTTCCTTTCCCTTTTCAACGACGCAGGCGAACCGGAAAAAATCCATCCCTCGTCCAGCTCGCGCCGCGAGAAATGCAAATGCAAGAAGAAAGGGGGGAAAAAAATTAGAAAAAATCAGAATTATAGCATTTGAATAAAAAAAGAACCTGTTCTTTCTGTGAAGATTTCTCGCAAAGAGACCCAAAAAATGATGAAAAATTCTTATTTATTGCCAAAAACCTCCCCGGATCGATGCTCAGCCCAATCTCCACCTTGCAATGCGTTGCAAAGTAGTTGCAAAGTTCACCCGCTGCGTAGCTATCCCAGAAAGGAATTTGAAGGGAGAAGAATTTTAATGAGAAATAACAAGAAAAAAAGCAGAAATATGGGGGTTTTTTTCCCCTATTAGTGTTTCCAGCTCAAAATTCCCAACAATTTGGGGGTTTGCTTTACTGCAAAGCTTCAAATCAAATCCTCTCCCACCCTTTGCAAGCAATTTTCCTCCTGCCAGCACTCGGGGGTCACCTTATTTTGGCCCAAAACCCAGCTTTAGGCAGTGACACCGATGGATTTGAGCTTCTACCCCCCCAATATTCTGATTTTCTCTCCCTGTTTTACAAGCACCTGTTCAAGTGCCCCATAAAATGTCATTTTGCCCCCCACAAACGCATTTCTTTGCTTTTTTGGCTGGTGTTTTGGGGCGAAGCCTGCTCTTTGCAACCTGGCATCTCACTAAAACACATTAAATCCATTAAAAATAAATAAATAAACTGGTAGGGGGGGCGGGGGTGGGGAATACCCCGGTGACCTCACCCCCTGCACAACCCTCGCAGGGTGCAACACATCCTCGCACCCCAATGCAACCAACGTCCAAACAAACAAACAAACAAACAAAATCACTAAAAGGGGGAAAA